ATGGATATGCCTATAGAATTTAAAAAAAAATTCCCAAGTATATATACGATAGGAGAATTTAAAACGTATGTGTGAAAATTGAAGGAGAATAGATGCGAAGTCAATGGAAAGTGCAATACATGTAGGTTATGTTGGCTAGTTGTGATATAATGTGCAAGAAACTGAGAACATGGTGGACAGGGATAAGCGAGAGAGAGAGAGAAGAGAGATACTGATACAGCGTAACTGACTTCTTGGCCGGTGCATATTACCGGCCTGTTAGAGGGCGGAGTTGTCTGATGAGTTAGCAACGTATTGACTTAATAATAATCATGTTAGCTGGTCCATACGAAGAGCTCTCGACGTTACGCGGCTCTTGGTGCGATTTTACCTACCGGGTGAGTTGCAGATTTTTGTCTTCTATATATAGTTTTCTATTCTATATAAATTACAACTACTCTAGAAGTTGAAGAAGAATGATGACGTTTTGTATCCGCAACACATTAAAAACAGAAAAAAATATTTATTTATTATTTTATCAGAACTAACTTAATTTTTTCTTATGTTTCAGATTACAAAATCCAATGAAGTCCTAAAAAGAAGAAAGAATCTCATGATGTGAGTATTATTGAGATTTGCAGTAAGGATTAATTTAGTTCTACTACCTTCAGCAATAGGAGACCGGAAGAAGAGAAGAAGATTAATTTTTGGATTACCAAATTTTCTCATATTAGATCATGAATAAATTTCAATGTTTTGCTGAATGTTCTGTAATTCTCTGCAAAAATGAAAAAAAAATTGCAAGAAAGAGACTACAAACAAGAAGATTAATTTTTGGTAACAAATTTCCACATAGTAGATCACGAATAAATTTCTACGTTTTGTTGAAGGTTCTGAAATTTTTTGCATTTGTTTCTTATCGTACGCAAGATATTGTGTCCAAATAGAAAAAACCCAAAAAAGTATTTGTATTTATTATATATTTAAACTAACTTTATTTCCTCTTAACTTTTCAGATTCCAAAATCCGATGGAGTCCAAAAAAGTCAAAAGAATCTCGCCACGTGAGTATTATTAAGATTTAAATAAAGGATTAATGTAGTTCTACTTTCAGCAATAGAAGACCGGAAGAACAGAAAAAGAAGATTAATTTTTGGAAATTTTACCAAATTTCCTCATACTAGATCATGAATAAATTTCAACGTTTTGCTAAAGGTTCTTCAAGGCAAGAAACTTTCAACAGAAAGACAAGAAAATGATTAATTTTTGGAAATTTTACTAAATTTCCTCATACTAGATCATGAATAACTATTGATAATAACTATTAACTATCACTAATAACTAATTCTTTGCGAATCCGATAAGTAAAAATGAAAATACTTCCGGTTTATGTTTTTGTTAAAAAGGAAATTAGTGGATTATAAAACAGTTTTTATATTATATTTCTATACATTATATTCATATAAGCAAAAGAAAAAATTTCATTGAATTTTAAAAGGAAATCTTGGGATATTTTAAGTGAATAATATTGAGTAAAGATTTCGGTGAATGAATCAGGACAATAAATAATAAAGGGATGAAGATATGCTATCCGCACATCTCCGAGTTGGCAACAATACAACTCGCGATAGAGTAAATCAGAATTCAATTTGTGCCACACAAGATTAGAGTTACCGATACCAAGATTCTGTAGAAATTTTATCTATTGCTTAATATTTTCTCAATTTTTATATATATAAGAGCTTTCAGTAACGGTATAAAGTAAATTTCAAATTAGTCAATTTCTTTTATTAAAATTTTCTCCCTTTTAAATTTTTCCCATATTAACAGCAATAAATATTTCTCTTTTCGACATGACAATAAATGAAAAATGACTTTATTTTATTTTGAAAGATGAAAATAAGAAAAGGGCTCGACTCTATGTGTCTGTTGGCAGTCATCTTGACCAGTTATTCATCTTGTAATATACGTATATTTATATTGTCGTGAGCAGGCATTGGCCACCCGGTACGCAACACCCCTTGATCGTTTTAGTGCGCCAAATGCCACCGTGTTTTACACTTGGCAATAATAGTTGAAATCTATGTAGCCAATATTTTATGTCACCCCTTCTTGAAAACAACCCCTCCTACATATGGAGCATCCAGTATATAGACTACGTTATTGGTTAAATACCTCCTAAGGGGTTTTTTTTTCTTTTTGGGTTCATACATCAATATATAGCTAATGAAATAAAAATAGGTCCACCGCGTATTTTTCAAATAACTTGACAATATCATCAATTCAACAAACATTTTTCAATCAAAAAAACTTTAAAAGTACTTTTTCAAATCAATCCTCCAAATCCCAGATGGTACACAATATGGCCCATATCCAACTTTTTCAAGAGTCGATCTTTAATAAATAATAATTATTTTCACATACTATATACTGTTTTGGCAAATGGAAAAATAGAATTTTTTTTTGATATTTTTGGTTATTATAGAAGTTTAAATCGTGTTTTGAATCATTAAACACTTTGCAAAATATAATTAATTTAAAATTCTCTATTTAATTAGAATGAATGAATAAATAATAGAAGTTTTTATCTATATAGAAGAAGAATAACATAAGAAAGTTATATTGACTGATGTTGCGGAAATTACTTGAAGAAATAAACGGAATTTAAATACCTTGGGGTGGAAAAAGAATGTCCTTTCGAAGGTGAAGGATCGTCCCAAGGGGCAGATACATCGAGAGAAAGGAAAAGGGTCGTAATTTACACGTGACTATGTTACACAGTTCAACAACTTCAAAGATTACTTTTTAAATGTCCGATATATTCGCACACGTTTGGTCACATTCTTTATGAATATGATGATTTAAAATCAAAATTTAGAATCATTAATTGCATATTCAAAATTGAAATAACGATACAAAATAATGTTATAGGAATAGTGGGCATCAGTGGGCCACTTATTTTCAGTAATTTTAATTATTTAAAGCATATTCCGACTTGTTCCACTGTTGCCTGACCCACTATATACAGTTTCTTTTGATTTCCTTTGGAAATTATTAATAAACGTGGCGTAAATTTTTGGCGCTAGTGGGTATATGTAAACGTTATTTATATATTCAGAGTTTGATAATTATTTTTGAAATCTTATTATTCCAGAAAAATGAAATGGCCCATTGATGCCCACTATTTCCCCTATACTGTATAATACTTATGAAGAAGAATTTCGAAAATAGTTTCGGACGAAATGAAAACTAAATTGCTATATCTATGTATAGTAAAAATGGAAAACGAAATTCAGTGTGAATCCAATTGGAAAAGGGATGTAAAAAAACGTGGTGTTATCCGACGGTAGGCTTTACTTTGATCATGTCCTCTGGGAACCTTGACCATTCTCCTCTTGCTTCTTTTTCTTCTTCTTCTTCTCATTTCAATCTTATTGATATACCGAATAAACACTCGTTACATCCGGCTTTGCGAGGTAAATTTTGGCGCCCAACAAATTGATTCCGATATATATATCCCAGCTTCAATAAAAGAAGATATACAAGTCAAAAATCTTGTTTTTGAAAAGTAGAAAGAACTTTTTCGAAAATATACTCAAAAATTTGTTATATATTTATCATATTTTTAAAAGGTCAAGTTATATGAATAAAAAATATTTTTCCGTTCAATTTTTTATAGGCGCGCATAAATACAGATAGAATGTAACTCGCGCGTGTGTATGGTATGGAGGTATATATAGTAGCGGTTTTAAATTCCGCGAGTCAAAGCAATGTTTGACATGGAAATCTTGAATGATGCATTAAACATGTTGCAGAGTGCTTTCTCTTTTTCTCCTCCTCCTCCTTCTTTTTTCCACCCTCTCACCACGCGCATTCTGGTCCCTGCGTCTTGTGGCTTATTTCTGCAAAGAGATACGTTCGCAGTCCAGCAACCTCTCTGTATATATAACTCAACTATATGATATAGGACCTCCTGTATAACCTCACCATTATCCACGTAATGTTTACTTAAGCAAACGAAGGCCAAAGGGATCGACTTCCGCCTTTTAAGATTGCAAAACCCCTTCTAATTTCCGGTTTCGATCAATATTGTATACCAAATTTCATTTCTTATTGTAAAGTACATTGATCCTTATTTCATATTTGTAAATCACTTTTCTTTGGATTTTATAAGGACATGCAGGTCTACAGTGGGCCACTTGCCCAAAATTTGCACCAAATTTTTGAAGGTGCGTTAAAATCAGATAAAAATATTTTGTATCTATAAAAAAAGGACTATGCGTCATATTTCCTACAAAAGTTCCTGAATAAAAATTTTATTTGTAAATATTTTTCAATTCCATTAAAGATTACTTTTTAAATTTAAAAAGAGAAAAAAAAATTAATGAAAAAAAATATATGCAAATTAACGAAAGAAATATGTAAAAATTGAAGAAAAAAAACCCCTTAAATTTATAAAAGAAGAAAAAAACATTTTATTTTCTTTTCTTTTTTTTTTGAAGAATGGAAACATAATGAAAGGGGTGATTCAAGTGGTTGAGTAAATAAATCTAAAGAAGGGAATTTTACAGGACCATTTTCGTAAAAGGTGCGCCCCATTGTCCGGCAAATGACATCAGGCTTATTGTATTATTTAAAGAGCCCTGCTTTAAGGTCTTTTTAGCCACACTCACCCCAATGAAATTCGCCGCACTTGGACCTTTGGAGTTTTTTTCGCCTCCTCTAAAAATCTGGCCAGAACGTCGTGCTTCGTTCACGTCGGAAGGGATGATTTTTTTTTTCTATATGTGGGTTACGATTTTTTAAAAGGAATTTTAACTCTAGAATATTGCGACATGGAAAACCCACTAACTTGCGGGAAAAAAATTTTACTTAAAAGTATTTGCAAAAAATTTCTTCTCACAAAAAAGAAAGTAAAATTTTTTTTTTTGAAAAAAATTAATTTGAATTTAGATTTATATACAGTAATTTTTTATTGTAGATAATGTATAAAATATAGAATAATGAATTTTTTCAACTCACCAGGTGAGATGCCGAGTTTTGCTTGAAGGGTTGAGGGACTTCTGAGATCAGGGGTTGATACAGGGGCAACGGTGGGAGGTGACAGGTGGGGGTGCGTCTGGGCTCCTCCACCTGTCGTCGTTGCTGTTGTTATTGTTGTTGTGGCACAGGGATTCAAGGGCGATGTTCTTTTTAGAGATTGTTCGGTTCGCCACGCGACTTCATTATCACCTATCCACACTTTACCTGTAAAAATCAGAAAATTGATTCATTAGAAGAAAATGTTCACTATTTTTTAAATTCAATAATTAGCAAATTAATTATAAATTAAATAATAATTTTTTAATTTAATAAATTAATAATTTTATTTTCATATAGTTATACCTATATGGTAAATATAGTGATAAATATACTAAAAAATATAGTAATAAATATATTGTATTTAGTATATTTAAACTAACTTGATTTTTTTTTTATGTTTTAGATTACAAAATCCAATGGAGTTCAAAAAAGTCAAAAGAAACGCGTCACGTAAGTATTATTAAAATTTGCATAAAGAATTAATGAAGTTCTACTTTCAGCAATATAGGAGACCGGAAGAACAGAAGAAGAAGAAAAAGATTAATTTTTGGAAATTTTACCAAATTTCCTCATACTAGATCATGAATAAATTTCTCCCTTTTGCTGAAGGTTCTTCAATTCTCTGTGAAAATGACAAAAAACTTTCAACAGAGAGACAATAGAAGTAAAAGATGAATTTTTGGAAATTTTACTAAATTTCCTCATACTAGATCATGAATAACTATTAATAATAACTATTACATACCATTAATAACTAATTCTCTGCGAGTCCGACAAGTAAAAATAAAAATACTTCCTGGTTATGTTTTTCTTGAAAAGTGAATTAATAGATTATAAAACAATTTTTATATTATTCTTTTTCTATATACATTATATTCATATAAGCAAAAGAAAAAATATCATTGAAGTTTAAAAGCAATTCTTGAGAAATTTTAAGTGAATAATATTGAGTCTAGATTTCGGTGAATGAATCAAGACAATAAATAATAAAGAGATAAAAAGATATATGCTATTCGAGTTATATATAGTAATTTTTACCATATACATATATATATATATACAAAACGCAATCAGCATAGTTAGCAGTTTGAAGAAAATAATATAAGATTTTGAGATTAATTATAACAAAGATTGATGGTGATTGTTGGGAATATATAGAGGCTTTTCTAAATAATGAAAGTTATATTCATCAAAAATGGATATTGGATGCAGAAACGGAAATTTAGAAATGAGTAGCATGTTTCCTGGTCCAGTTTCGTTCTTGTTTGAGGGGTGAAATTGTATTAATAAACGTATACACACATATATATATATATATGTATATAGGTCTAGAAATATACTTCATTCTCTATACACACTGAAAGTGTCTTTTCTCCCCCTTGATTCCAGTGCGCGTAATTAGCAACTGACCCCTCCTCCTTCTCCGTTCCATTTCGTCATTTCGAATCCCTGGACCCTTCTCATATGGGCTTTATATGCATTTTCTCGAGTTTTTCCCATTTTCCCTCGCGTTTCCCTTAATTTTCTGGGAACAATGCCTTCTGCTGGATATGTTGTCCTAAGCTGCAGTGTCTAATTACGAGGGTGAATCGGAGATGGGGCTCGCATATATATATATATATATATATATATATATATATATATATTATATTCTTTTGCGACATATACACTCACTCGGGTGTTCAGATACATTTTCATCTCATTTATTTTTAGAAACAGCATCATTTATATAAATACAGACATATAATATATAATACAATTCCAAATTTCGAAAATAGAAATATTTTCGCTATCTTAAATTCGCTATAATTTTATTTATTTTTAGAAAAAAGAAAAATATCAGCTCATGTGCTATTAATTTTGAAGTGTAAGAAAAAATGTCAAGTAGGTGGCGCCACGTTCTATGTCTTAGCAATTATTTACTGAGTTTGAACTGCTATAAATTTACATTGTGGATAACCGTATAAATTGACATATAATAAAATAATTAATATTATTAATAATATTCTAATTCATAATTTAAATAACAAAATTTTGATTTTTATTTTAATCTCAAAATTGAAAATTTATAACTATATGAACAATAATAATTTCTCATGAAATATAAAGCAGCATATATATATATATATATATATATATATATATATATATATATATCTATTTATGTATATGCAATAATTTGTATAAAGAAAGAAATTATAAAAGTAGATTATTTCTAATGCAAAAAAATGGTAATTAATTTAATAAATATGCAATTCTCGCAAATTGCTTTCCATAATACAAGTGGATGTGTATAATATATATATATATGTGAGATTTCGAACTATTCGCGATAAATCAGTGCAAAACAATAATGAGATATTAACATTTGAAAAAAAATGTAAATGATGATTTATGCAAAGGAAATTCGAGGAAAGGCGCGCATAAGTACGAAGATATTACGTTTCTGGAGCGTGGCAAGAGTTGAGAGTATTTGCAAAGCACGCAAATACAAGCCGCCTCCGCACGCGCTCATGTGTGAGTCACAGTCGGTATTATTTGCTTGATGAATGATTTAGCTTTTGCATCTCTCTCTCTCTCTCTCTCTCTTTCTCTTTTTTTTCCTTTTTTCTCTCATCGTATGGGTCATCTTCTTTTATATACACACACAAAGTGAAGCCGCATAATATAAACTTTACTTTATAAGAGAGACAGACGTAGAGATTGGAAAAACAGAGAGAGAGAGAGAGTGAGAGAGAGCAAAAGTGAAATGGAAGGAGAAATCAGGGGGTGGCAACTAAAATCGTCTGTATGGAAGTTTGAGTGAGACAAGAGCAACGACTATATAGAAAGAAAGAGGAAAACGACCAAGGAAAATGTGGCTGGCGCTAACTAAGGGCGTCGGCTAATCAATATCATCAGAGAATGGCCGCTTGCCTCTTTCACCCTCTCGTGAAAGAAATTTTCTTTAGTTACTCGTATTTTTCTCAAAAGGAAGAAAAAAAAAATTTATTATTGTCTCTACATTTTCACAAACTTTGTATAATTAACATTAATTAAATATTCTAATATCAATTAATTAGCTACATATTAATAAAATTTAACTAATATTTGCTTCATTTGAATTACTTTTTATTAGGAAAAAATGTCGTATTTACAAGAATTTAAATAGAATAGGTATACAACTTGCATTTTGCATTAGTGGGAAAAAAAATTGCATCAAAAAACTACTACGCAGCTAAAAATGACTACTGCGCATGAAAATATTTGTTATCAGCCCTACTGCGCAGACAGTTCATAAATAAAGGTTCGTCTACAATGCAAAACTAACGCACCTGTAGGCTATGAAGATCTATCCACATTCACAAAGTTAATGCAACAGTAAGTTATTATTGTCCTTCTACAATGAAAATTTAACGTAACATTAAGCTATTATGGTCATTTTACAATGTAAAATTTCTCGTGACCTTTGCACATGCGCAACAAATTAGCAACTAAAACGACTGTCGACAATGTAAAATTTACTATAAAAATATATTTAAATAGTAATAAATAATAATATGATATATATTACATAGGAATAAATTATAATAATAACTGTAGAATAATAAAAAATTAATTATAATTTATCAAATTTTTTTAAGAAAAAAAAAATGCATTAGCCATAATTTGAAATATTATATTAAAATAGTAATTTCGATTGTGGACAATACTGCGCCCACAGCAAAACCTGAGGCCAAATTGAGAATAGTCCCTAAACTGAAGGCAGCAGTTTCTTTTAATCTTGAAATGTTTGCATGGTCCAGTCCTTATAAGTCCACCCCTATACATATATATATATATGGTCCGAGACAAACGGAACAACCCTCATATGTAGGTAGAAACGACAAGTTCTCAGAAAATTAAATTATCTCACTTTTTTTGCACAACATTTTCAAAATAAAAATTTTCTTTTCTATATAATTATATATAGTACTGTTAATATAAATATAGTTATCTACAAATTTTCTATAAATATAACTTTTTTTAAAAAAAACTAATACGAAAAAAAAATTGTACATTAATAATCGCAGATTAGGTATTGACGATGTAGATTAAAACGAACATAACCTTAAAAATCAAGGTTTTATGTCAAAAATGTAGGTTATAACTAACATAACCTCAAAATTCAAGGTCCTAGGTCTCCAGGATTCAAGGTCATAGATCAAACATAACCTCAAAATTCTAGGGTATAGGTCTTCAGAATTCAAGGCCTTAGTTCAAACATAACCTCAAAATTCAAGGACATAGATCAAGGAACCGTTGGGTTTAAGGCTATGTCCGACAAACATAACTTCAAACTCCCCTAACCAAGAAACGAACATAGCCTCAAATTTTAGATAAAATTGTAATAATTTTAATACCTGCAGTCTTTAAAAAATTAATCATTAAAGTGGAAAATAACGGGGGTAGGCGGGTGAAGCGCCAATCCATATTATTATTATATAAATAATCATAGTTAAATTAAATATAATAATAATAATAAAATTAGTTTGTAAACAGTCTGGAATTTAAAAAACTAGAGTCTAAATTTAGAAGGGTGGTAGAAGTATAGAACTTAAGGGAAAAATTAAAAAAAAAAATAATTTCCACTGGGAATCGAACTCGAAACGTGTGCGCAAGCATAGTTATATGCCTTAAACCTCATAGCCACGGTGACATTACAATTGAATACATTTTTCCTATATAATCTATGAAAACGACAATTATTAATACTATAGAAATATGAAAACTTTAAGCCAACTATTGTCGAAAACCAAAAAAAAAAGTAATAATTTTAATTCACCAGCGATAAACATATCTAATGATAATTTTCCAAAATCAAAAAGTTCCCTATATACATATACTATTTAACACACATATTGCGCGTGTGTAGTGCGGCTATAGTCAGTATTTCGACCTCTAGAAAAGCAGTTCGCATAAACAGAGCCATTCATTTTGAGACCCCTCGTGTGTGCGCGCCTTTCTATATTGCCCAATGGGCTTCCTTTTTTTTCCCTTTTTGCATTCCCTACGTTCATTCGTCCAGTGTGGCGCGAACTCCATTCACGGGTTTATCACTGTCCAGATAACAACGATTTACCTACACGCGAAGCTTAGGGTTGGTAACACATTCAACGGGATGGTGGGGGGGGGGTGTTTGGTCG